ATATTCTTTCTCAAAAAAATTTGGTTTTGAAATAATTTTTTTTTCTAAAAATTACTTCTCTTTTCAAACATTTTTGCTTTACTTTTTTTATAAACATATTTTTTTGTATAGAAAAATGGTTTTTAAAAATTACGCCCTTATTTTTTTCTCTAAAAATTCATAATTTTTTCAAAACAATTTTTTTCTAAGAAGTGTTTTCTAATGCTTGACAAATTTTTCAAGTTTTCTAAACAAATGTGTATTTCTTTGAAAAAAAAAAAATTGAACAAAATCCTTTGGGCAAAATATTCCTTTTAGTTCTGAAAGCGTTAAAGTGTACGTGGCTGCAGTGGCAGTTCTTTTGCTATTCTGGGTGTCGGTATCATCAAAGTAACTGTATGCGCTCATCGTCCCTCTAGGCAATGGGCTCTGACCGCTACCTTTAAGAGCCCGGAACATATTCTGGCAGTCGCTAATTTTGAAGTCTTATCACTTAATGATGACCAGGAGGATAAAGCCACATTGTCCTCAATCTCAGCACTGAGCAAATTGGACAGCAGATATAAAATATTCGGTCTTGAAAAAGATGAGATGGCGGAAACATTTTGCGCATCTGCTAATCTATGATTAGATGAAAGTTAAAAACAGACATTCTAATGACAATCGTAATACATTTTTCGTCTTCTTGATGGGCGGCTAATTTGCGCACATTCATTATTTCTCGACTGTTCAGTAAAGAGTATCCCCTATTCTAAATGTTAATACATACATAAGGCTTGCAAAATCAAATCAGCCTTGATTTTATGTCCTCCAAAACCATGTCAGTCTCTAAATTAAGCGCAAAGCAGAGTCCTTGGAGAGAAAGAAGTCTTAGGCGGCTCTAAATAGCCATAGTGCAGTCATTAAAGTTCGTAGTAGAGCTATGCTTGATCTGCGAAAAACAGCTATAGCTTCTATTATTTGAGAAAGATGGTAACCTTTTATTTTTTTACGCAAAAACGGTTTTACGTTTTTGGTGAGAAATTCTTAAAGTTTGCAACTATGATTTCCAAGTACCACGATTGATTTCGAGATTTCAGCTGGAAAAATTCCGCGTACGTAATGACTTTGGAACAATGTAAGCAGTTAAGTGAAAACGGGCGTGGCATATTCAGTAAGACTTTCGCTTGGGCTTTTTTCATAATCAAACATCTACGCTCGCACTTGATTTCTTTAGTACATGCGTTTAACGTGCGATTTCAGCTATGCCAATGGAAACTGTATCCTTCGGTTAGATTGCTTTCGAATTCTTCAAAGTCAAAAGAAGAAAGTAAGAAACGAAAAACACCCAACATCAATAAGCACAGAAATGGTAAATGCCTGCAATTTCACTGTTAACTATCTACATATACAGCAGCTGGCTCGTTCCGCGTTTACCTTCATTTTTTTTTTTACTGTATCCACTAACATCCTTACTCTAGCTGCTGCTCGTCCATTCTTCATTCAGCACACTCGCACAATTTATTGCCCTTCAGCTATGTTGCCGTGTTGTAGTACGAGTATCTAACGCTGTTATTGCTTTGATTGTGCATTCGGCATTGTCTGCGCGTCTAGCGGCCTGCCTGCCTGCTGTCAGTCTACGCATTATTCTGGCCGTTCGTCCTACATTTCAGCGCTTCCTCGTAGCCATTTGCTAACTTTTCACTTCCGTATCCGCAGTTAACTGCTTTTATTTTCTGAGCACGCAAGACGAGAAATCGATAGCTATGAGCTACATAAAGACGAGGCAACAACGTGCTCCGTGGATTGGATTGTATACATATTTACATTTGTGTTCGATTCAGTAGAACATACGTAGAACTTAGAGTTGTAGAGTGTCATTCAGATGCTGACATATACATTACGGGGAGAGAGGAATTGGTAGCATTTATTGAAGGAAACGATTATGCAGGTACCTATTCATAGATTCAGTTTGTGCATTGCTATATTCAGAACTTATACCCGACAGGTGTTATGAAGTGGTTACTATTCCTTTGGACATTAATGGCACCTACATATTTGTATATACATATATACGAAGGCAGAACAGACAGCACTCAGTGGTCTCAGAATGGCAGAAAGTCCCACTAAGTGCTTGACTAAACTCTAGACATCTGCGCCCATGCCATGGCGGAAGAGAAGGAGGAGGCGTCCAAGGATCTTTTTTATGAGCGGTTGGAGCGCACATACGAGCGCTGCCTTCGCCATGATATCAAAACCGTGCTTGGACAAGGTAGGCAAGGAATGGATTTATGGAACCATTGTCGGAAAATTCAGCCTCCACGACGAAACGTCAGACAACGGACTGAGGCTGATCGACTTCGTCCGGACCCGAAACCTGGTAATATGCAGTACTAGGTTAAAGCATAAAAAGATCCATCAAGCTACGTGGTTGTCTACAGATCGAAAAACGAGAAACCAACAAAACGACATATGCGAGCAGGGGAACCACATCTCTCGCTCATTAAGTACCACCGACGAAGAAGTAGTCGGATTTCAGCGAGCCCGAAACTGGTACGATGAGGTGTGTTAGGAAGCTGCGAAGAAAAAAGATGCCGTCTACAGGGCCACGCTGCGATCGGGTGCAACGCGCGCTATGTGGGACCGCTATAGAGAACTAAAGAGGGAAGCGAGACGTATTTGCCGCAATAAGAAGAAAGAGGCCGAAATACATAAGTGTGAAGAGCTTGAAATGCTGGCCGACAGAGAGTTAGGCTACTTACGGAAGGTCTCAAGACCAGGGCGTACTCCTGTAAGTACAGCAATGGCGACCTAGTTACCGATGTTCAGAACGTACTTAAATTATGGAGGGAACACTTTTCCACGCTACTAAATGGTAGGAGCACTGAAATTTGTGTAGAAGAAGAACCCCAGCCCCCAGTCCATGATGACCGAGTCGATGATCCACCGCCTAACTATGATGAGGTACTACTAGCAATAACGCGGCTGAAAAACAACAAATATGCTGCAGCTGACAGCCTGTCAGCTAAGCTATTCAAGTACGGTGGCGAGGAGTTGATGAGGTACATCAACTCTTATGAAGAAAACGCACAGATGAAAGCATGCCCGACGACTGAAATTTAAGTGTGCTCTTCCCAATCCACAAGAAAGGCGACTCCGCCATTCGCGCCAACTACGGATCAGCCTTCTAAGCGTAGGTTACAAGGTCTATTAAGGGTACTTTGGACATTGTTCACCAGCTCATTATTGTTTTTCTGAAAAAAATTTGGACGTATTTCTACAGACCAGCATCTCAAGCTCTTCGCACTCAAGTATTTCTGCCACTGTCTTCCTTTTTGTTTGTAATACGTCGCTTTTGCCTTCTCAATTCTCGACAACGCTCTCGCACTGCTCGAATTGCGCCCGATGGTAGCGTACCAGTGTAGGAAGCGTCTTTCTCTCCTGAGGCGACTGGATATTCCTCATCGTACCAACTAATAGTGTTTGCAAGTTCGCTAAAATATGATTGACGCCTATGCTGTATGTAGAGAACGAGAATCATGGTAGGGATTGATGTGTTGAACAATGATATCAGAGAGCCGCATTCAGAGCTGAGTGCTGTTGCTGTAATAGCATGCAAATTCACCAAAGAGTTTTTGAGGAACGATGCTAGTGACAGTCCTTGGCCAGATATGCATATAGGTCGTTCCGGTTACCTAGATGCGACTGTCGTGGTAACGAGAGCTGAGTGTTGAATCTGTTGGCTTCCGAGTTTTCCTTGTCTATTAAATTATGCAGGTACCTATATGACGAGCTTTGCTATATAGAGCCGATTACGTACAAATATTGGCTGCCACCATATAGCGGTCCGAGTAAATGACTGCTCGTACTACCTATATACGTTTAGAACACTAGAAACGTTACTTTCGCCTATCACAGCAAGATCGATATGGTTTTGCGTTTTTCGATCTGGTGGCATCAACGTTTTACTATTGAATCTTTGTATGCTTTTCTTAGGCTCCAATGTAGTCGACCAGCAGTAGTGGAGGTTTAGTCGCGTGAGCTAAATTTTTAACTGGAAGACCAAAAGTACTCCCTTTGCCTATCCAGGCATTAAAGTCACCAAACATGATTTTTGTATCGCGGCGTTTTTATTTTTTTTTCTCTGACATCAGGATTTATTTTAAAGGACTTTGTTATTTCAAAGATATGATTAATACCAAAAACTATTTAAAAAATTCAATGCAATGTAGAACCAAAATATGAGTACGAAATGCAAGAGGAAATTTCCTTAGAATTTAAAAAATTAAACATTTTTGGATTCACAAGGACTAATAGGTAATTTTTTAAGCTAATAAAGTTAGAAGGACGAAATTCGAGGATGTTATCGAGTTTATATAAGTCCTTAACATATAATTTTTCAAAAACAACTATTGCGAAATTTCAAGGATACAATTTTAAAAGAACATTTTCAATACTTACCAGTCCTTTTGCACCAAAAGCTTGAATCTTGATACCCACACTTCTCCTCTAAGCACATTTCTGTGAATTTTTTAATAATTTTTGAAGTACTGACGTCAGAGTGAAAAACTAAAAACCCAATTTTACTAAATTACAAATCTTTCTAAAAATTTTAAATTTTAAAGTTTTTAGTTTTCCATGGCAAAACCGCGGCTTACAAGTAGCAACAAACTTAAGACTTCCTATACATATTTGTGAGTTGCAAGTTGTAAAGTTTACGCGGCGTAAAGAAAAACGTGTACTCTCTTATCCCCAACTAAGTGTACATTTTTAAGTCAATTATAACACCCACATAAAATTTTCGCTTAATCGGCTAAACGCAACAAAGCATTAAATTAACTCTAATATATTTTCAAAGCACTTTGCAAGTCAACAAAATGAAGCTGACGCAGGATGTCTTAATGCCTCCTGAGGTCGCTCTGAATTTTACTTAGCCCTACTGCCTAACTCAAGCACATACATACAAACATTTACGCATACATACTTAAATATGTATTTAGTATAATAAATATTAAGATAGTAACTTTTGTTGTGGTACTCACTTTCAGTGCTCCAAGCAGCTTCACAATTCTGCCATGGCAGCACACGACGAAACGAAGCGCACATATAGAATATTGTCCAGGCAATAATCAAATTATAATAGAGCATTACAATGGCCGAGACGATAACCATGCCAGCGCCGAGACCACGAAATAGTGGACAAAAGCGACGATAGATTGCTATTGGACCCAAAGCGGCATACTGACCGAACGAAAGTTCCATGAACATGAGCGGCAAGCCGGCGATAATTAACATTATTGTAAAGGGTATGAGGAAGGCGCCTGTAAAAAGAGCAATTGGCAAAAAAACACACCGCAGAGAAGTAGACATAAAAAGTCCCAATTCACTGTCATCTTCACGCATCATACTTACCGCCGCCATTGTTGTAGCACAGATAGGGAAAGCGCCACACATTGCCCAGTCCCACCGAGTAGCCGAGCAGTGAGAGTAGAAAATCAAAGCGTCCCGTCCAATTGCCACGCTCCGGCTCGCTGGGCTCACCTGTGTCGAGTGCAATGAGTGCAGCACCCGAATCGCCACCGCCAATGGCTACCTTCGAAGCAGGTGTGGTGGGCGTATTAGGTGGATAGTTGATTGCATCGATGGGATCACGCCCGCCACCTGGTGGACCATCGGGCCCGTCGCCACCATCACCACCAATGCTAATGCTGATGGCTTTGCTGTGTGCGCTGCTGCCGCCGCTAGCGGGTGTGGTGCTTGTTGCAGCTGCTGTTGCCGGGGCGCTGCTGCTGTTCGGCATTTTGGCGCTGGCGGGCAGTTCAACGGTGGTGAAGCGATCCTCATTTTGCTGGAAGTGGGAAGACGAAGTAGAAATTTAACTATGATTGTAATTGCATATAAAGGGCATTTACATATACATATATGAGCACATCTCACGAGTTGTTTTTGTTTTAGTGTGTTTAGTGTTTTAGTTGTGGCTATTTTTCCTTAGTTTATTTAATGTTTATTATTTTCCTATGAAAATATAGCTGAATACATAACAAACACATATAAATCCAAACTTCAAACTTTGTGCAAAATTATGAAAAATCTTCTTTATGCTATGCAGTTTTTTGGTCTATTAAATTTTAACATATGGTGCAAATTTGAAATAGCTAGGACCTACCGTTGATTTTTTGCATTTTTTGTAGGTCGGTGTTACGCATTTTTTCCATAAAAAGTGTATTCTACCATTTTTTATCTGGGGAAAAAATGCGGAACTCCGTCAACAAAAAAATTGCCAAAAATCAACGGCATGTGTTGGTGACTTCAAATTTGCACTTTATTATACTAAAATTTGAAATCTTTAAAGATGCTGCTTAAAAAATAAAAAAATTTTGGTGAAAATTTCTAAATTTTCATAATTTTAGCACAAAGTATAAAATGTGGATTTAAATAAATGGTGTTTTTTAAGTAATTAGCTACACTTTTATTAAACAAATAATAACTATATAAACTAAACAAACTGAAGAAAGATAGCCAAAACTTGCTAAAATGTGGCGTCCCAGTTTATATGTATATTGGCCACTCAATATTCGCTTAAAATAAAAATCATTAAAATCGGCACAGTCTCTCAGGACTTTTCGGATTTGAAAAAATTGTCTTTAAATTTTATGTAACACAGTCCGACAGGAAAATTTTCTCCAAGATAAGGCTAGGCATTTCTAATAGATGTTGGGTTGCTAAATTTGTAAAAAAGCGAACGTATGTATTTTAATTTTAAGAAAATAAGGCCTACAGCAAAATCGGCTAAGCCTTTTTTTTTTTTTTGCGAAACAACTAACAAATCGGCTGCCGGCTAAACCAGATTTTCTCCGCCTGTTTGCTAGAGCAACCGGCTAAATCTTGCCGTAAAATGGCTAAACTGGCAACACTGCTAGTATAATGTGCGTGGGTGTGCTAGCTTCAAAAGTACCAACACCCATTTAGTACTTTAACCAACCATGTCAGCTGTTTTACGCCTAAAAGCAGATTTAATTTTTATTTATTCATGCATGTATTTATGTACATATGTATATCGTCGCCCTTATGCTAGAAGCATGAATGTGCAAATTTATCAGTTTTGAAGTGTTCTATGGGTGTTCTATGTTATACGAAAACGCAGAAAAGCATGCGTACACGGAAACTACAAAATTTTACAATTTCAATTGCATAAATGTAGAGTTAAGTCTCGTAAAAAAACGTCCAAACTTGATTTCCGAAAATTTTCATTTTTACACATTCATTTTTCTGTTAGCAACGTTTCTCATATAAGTAGTTTTAATACTTATTTTGAATAATGTTGAAGTATGCTTAACAACTATGCAAATGCACAACCGTCACTGCCACATAACTCATAGCAAATACATATGTATGTACAGCTCGCGTATTCTATTTATGCGCATACATAAGTATTTTCTTACGTACGGAACATGTGAAAATATTTATGTGCAATATATTTAGAAAAAAAACACACATTTCAAGTGGTAAAATTCACTCGTTGATTCGCTGAGTCGGAAGTTGATGAGTAGATTATGCTGAAAAGTTACCGATTCGTTGAGGTGATGTTGCTGAATTAGCAAGCAAGCTTATTTCCCCCTTTCCTAAAATTTTTTTTCTTGATTTCCCTCTGCAATTTGTGGCATATTTTATTTGCTTATTTTGCATACCTTTGAAGTGCTCGCTTAAAGAAGTAAAATATTGATTAATGAACTCAGATAAATATTTACTGCTGGGAGGGTAGCTAAGTGCTAGCAAAAGTTTTGAATTGGCTGACTTGCATTTAATTGTTAAATTGTGCGGAATTCATAAGCAGACGAATTTTTAAAGTAGGCAAGGAATTACGAGTATTATAGAAAATGAGGTAGTAGACGAAGATCGATTCCGCTAGTAGTGATTTGATGGACAGTAGTGCATTTGGTTTAATTAGCACTGACTTGTCAACTATTTAGTTCTTTTAATTGAAGGCGAAACTGGTGAGCGAATAATTTAGCACAAAATATATTGTTTAAGCAAGTTTCCCACTTTTTATACTCCATAAGATGCAGGATTAAGAAGGATTTTTGCCGAAGGCATCTAAAAGTATGCAAAAATGGTTGCATAAACAACCCGTGCTATTTACTTCTGAAATAAGTCGCTTACATGCATGCACTTCTCAAATGGCGTATGATGTAACTTTTTAAAGTAGAACGCTCTTACCTATAACCCGCTGAGGCAGGGATACATATTTCCGTGGCGAAGAGGCTTAGTTAAATCCTATGTGGCTTAGGTCCAAGCTGATATGCAGATCTGTTTGTAGATGATGACAAAAAACTGTAAATTCCAAATCCAGGGTGCAACACAACTCTGTGCGATTATACACTTTGCAGCCAGGAGGACAATCCGCTGTATTCGAACAGCCCCTTCTCAACACAGAATCTCTTTGTGCAGTAGCGGTGACCTAATCTACCGCGGCCGATGGCTGAGTTTCCGCTTGTCAGCAAAAACAATAACCAAACAACAGCTCCAAAAACGAGTTGGCACACAAATTTCGTCGGTCAAAGAGTTTTCCATGTTTATTGCGCACTCGAGGACTATTGAGCTTGCACTTCTAGGCGCAAAAAAACTTTCTACCATACAGAGCAAGGCAACCGCATCCGATTATCGAGCGAGGCACACGTCCATCACATCAACGTCGAAACCTAGATCCGGCGGATCGTCGTCCAGACATTGCCTTAGACCCAGGTCTCGAGAGCATACATAGATATAAAAGCCCGATCAAGAAGCATTTTTGATGCTAACAGTCGACAATAACACCGTCTGGAAGACCAGCGTGGCTAGATGATCACGGAAGGCATGGGTTGAGTAGTGTGGTAGATAAATAAATAGAACTTCCGCTACTTAAAATCACTACGCTACGGCAAATCACCCGAAATAGCTCACTTAAAAACAATCATTGAGCTGGAGTTCGCAAAACGAAGGCGTGGGTGACAGGAAGAGCGTCATCGAACAGATGAAGTAACCCAGACCAAACGAGAGAGACAACATTGGAGTGGGCTACCATATTGCCCGCCGACGATCGGAGAAATGGAAAAACACTAGAGCAGAGAACCGCGTTCACTGTAAAGTGGAGAAGTAGTCAGCCAGCACTTTGGTACAGAGAGCAACAGGCTAAATCCAAATCTGGGGGTCCGCATAAAAGAGTGGAGTCCACCTTAGGTCAGGAATGCTTCTTGTAGATTGCAAGAAGGCGAGGGTGGTTAGGGAGTGTACAAGCGTAGCAAGCAAGCTTGAGAGGTGGCCAGAAGCTGAAATCATGCAGATCCATAACATGCCGGTCTTCCAGGCAAGGGGTATAGACAAGTCTCCAAAGTAGAAACGCAGATCTGAACATCCCCAGGTAGGGAATCATCAACAACTCTAGCGAAAGCATCGCTGGGCATTGTTGGGCGGAAAAAATTCAGTCTTCGAAAAAATTCCAGGCATTCAAGTAACACCATTCATGTGCGCCAACAACGCAGGGACTGACGAAGGAGCTAGATATGCACAAGCTTATAGTTTTTATTGTAGTATTATTAACCAGTCATTAGCAGGTCATTGAATTCTTTGGGCTCTACTTTCTCAGGTTGAAAAGGTGGGAGCTGTCCAAGCATGCATTTTTTGTAACCTCAAACTCAACTTTATTAAAAATTTTATAGATTTTCTAGGGCAAACCGTAGATCAATATGCTTAAATTGATGAAAAATCGAATGCCAATTCTCGACTTTTTTTGATCGATTCACGGATCGAATCGGAACTAATAAATGGACAAAAAATCGAATCGGAAGGACTCGATTAATCGATCTTCGATTTAATCAATTTAAAAACGTCATCTCTACTCTGTAGGCGACCTACACTCAATTCATTTAAAAATTAATCTAATTCATTGAATTACCGCACACTACGTTTATGTAATCGCGGTACTGCTTGGATGCCTCAGCTCCAGGGCTGCCAACTGTACTTAGCTATGAAGTGCCATATTGAGGATAAAAAAGTGCTGAAATGTGCCAAATAGAAAAATAAAAGTGCCAAAAAAGGTATCATTATTTTTAATTCTTCCCAATTAGTATTAAAATTAGAAATGCATTCCTAAAACAAAAGTCCAATGCCAAAGTAAGACAAGCCAGTTGTATACACTATAGAAATTACAAAATTTTGGTTGAGAAAAAGAAGTATACGCAAAGGATTTCACAAAAATGTATTGAAATTAGTATTGGGCAGTATCGATGCCAAAGGTACTCAGAACTCGATTCTCGAAAGGATCGACAGAACCCGATTTTAAAAGTAACGATACTGAGTACTCCAAAGTACTCAGTACTCAAAATAGAACTCGAAAGTACTCAGAACTTAAAAGAACTCGGAAGTAGTCAGTACTCAAAAATACTTTGTTCCAATCATTCAGAAATTATTGTACTTAATTTGAACTTACGGGTATGTAGTTTTCAAGTGCAATAATTTTATCCAGTAAAGCTAGCCATTCATTTGACGTAATTTGGGATTAATATTTTAATTTGGATAAAGTGCTGTCAGCTTGAAATGTTACCCACATGTGTATATTAAAAAAAAAGTACTTAGTACTCTCAAAAATACCCGATCCTCAAAAGTATCGATACTAAAGAACTCGATCCTCAAAAGTACTCGACACTTCCCAACACTAATTGAAATACATATCACAATTTTCCACAAAGTGCCAAAATTGAAAAATTGAGTGCCATTTGAGCCAAGTTGGCAGCCCAGCTGGGCTCTATTCCTTATTCGTTATCGCTTTATCGCGCTCAGCATTTCCTATTACATACTTCAAAATTATGACAT